GCGGGCCGCGCCGAGCCTTGGCGGGGTGGGCCCGGCAGCCTCGCTGCGCCGAGAGGCCCGCCTGGCGCCCTGCCGTGGGCGCGACTGCGGCGCCGGGAGCTGCCGTCCGACGCACAGGAGGGCGCCAGGTTGGGGGAAGGCGGCATTCAGCGACGCCCAAACGCGGTCCGGGCCTGTGTCTCCCACCATCCCTCCCGGTCACCGCGCTGGCTGGGGCCGTGGGGAGTTGCAGGTCGAATCGTTTTGGCCCGGTGCCCTGCCCGGTCCCCCTCGGCGGCCCCTCTGTGGCGTTGCCAAGGATCTTCAGAAGAGGCGCGGGTAGAGCCCTTGTCTGGCCAGCAGGGGCTGTTGCCCCCTCCCCTGGGAGAGCTGCCCCTTTGATCCTAGCAGGCTCACTGACCCTCCTGCTGGGGGGCAGAGAGAGCCCCCCGCGGCCCAGCCACCACAAGGGCCCCCTTGCTGGCACAGAATGCCCGACTCCTCCTCCAGCCCCACGCCAGACTCTCACACTACCCAGCCGTGCTGGCCCGTTCCTCAGCGCCCGCAGAGGGGAAATGCCCCCGGCGGAACTTCCTCCTGCAGCGCCGTGTTCAGAAGGGGCAGGAGCCCCGCTGGAGAAGAGGTGGCGCCCCAGGGGCCTTCCTGCCCCACAGGACCAATGCTGCCCCCAGCCTCCCTGGCACCAGACCGAGCCGAGCCAGGGCCCACCTCGCGGAAGGGCCTGCGGTAACCACTTAGTGGGACACACAAGCGCAAGAGAAGCCGGGCCGGAATAGAGCCACTCTCCCTGAAAATGGCAGCCAGCCCTGGAGAAGGAGATCATCGGCTTTCAAAATGCTTTCAAAATGCCTTCAAGTCAAACAGGCCCCTTCATGCTTATGGGGGGGGGTACTTTAAATAGCCCCCAAATGGAAGGATTCAGGTTGCAAGGAAGCACCTTTGGGGCGGGGGGAGAGCCTGGGCACAAGGCGATCTGTTCAAAGACCAGCAGCCTCCGAGCAAGAGAGTTTCGTCTCTCCAGGGCTGTTTGGGCCTCCGAGGCCCAGGCCAGGTCACTCGGGGGTCCCCGCCTGTGGGGGAGAATGGGCAGCTCTTCCCAGGCTCCTGGTGGCCCTTGGCAGCTGTGGCTGGACCCCGCGCTTCTAGCCAGTGGGGCACCCCACCAGCTCCGCCAGTTCCCCATTGCACCGATTGTGACTGTTTGGCTGAGGGAGAGATGCACTCCCCACCGGCCTCTGGGGCCAGGGCAGGCCGAGCGGTGGGGCCACCAGTGGCTCCCCATCCCAGCTCTACTGTGTTGCATTTGTATCATTCTGTGGCCCCACAAACTTGCCCCACAGCACAATCCAGAAGAACATGGGAAGAGCCGTGGCACACCCGACAGGCACTCGGAAGCGAGGCCTTCCCGATTCAGGGCGCTCGGGGCTTGCGGGGTCCAGCAGAGTGGGCTTTTAAACGAAAGCCTCACCCCCTCCAGCGAGGCAGAATCACACGTGCCATAGAGGGCATCCGCTGTTGCCCCTTCCCAGCCAGCTGCCCCCGCGGCTCCCACTCACATCTCGGCCTGGACATGTGGGAAGACTCCCGCTGCAACGGGCAGGCAGAGGCCCCTGCTGCATCCGCCGGGCACGCGGCAGCTCCGGGATCCAGGTCAGGATGGGTGCAGCCTGTTTGTCCACCATGCAAAGGGACCCTGCGGCCCACTGCCATGGGGCAAGGCTTCTGGAGGGTGCAGTCCTGCTTCCCTGCTTCCGTGGGGTGTCCAGCCCACAAAGCCCCGGCGCTTCTGGCTGCACCCTCATCCAAGCCCAGCTGCAGCGGACGGCAAGCCCTCTTCTCTGGGAGTGGAGCGGGAGAGACTTGGCTGGCGCAGCCCCTTTCCTCCCCTGTCGGGATGGTCCCAAGTCCCGGGTGCCGCAGCCACAAGGCCCCCAGGCAAGCGGCAAGAGCCACGGGGGAGCCAGTTACGGCCAGCCAGAAGTCTCTGCCGCCAGCCTTCCCCACAGCTGGCTGCGGGATTACGCCAGTCGTAGTCCCAACGCACCTGGGGGCACCCAGCTGGGGAAGGCTGCTCCATGTCGACCTATAAAACAAAGTCAGCCCTGTTGTTGCAAAAGAAACACACAATACCTTTATTAAGCCCAGCTTAATAAACACTTTGAGCAAACTTTTAAGATTTCCAGGCCGAATGTTGTGCAAATGATTGCAGAAGAATTGAATTTATGAAGTCTGCGCGGTTCAGAGCAGCAAGGCAGAGCGTGCGAAGAGAGCATAAGACGAGCATTGCTGAATCTGGTGCTGGAAGGCTTCAGGCTAAACCTGTTGGGAGAAGGGCCGATTCCCCCATCTTTTAAAGATGGATAAATTCTGATTTTTCACTGCTCTTTTCTTCAACCTGAGGCAAAATCTACAGGCTCTTTGATAAGTGGAGAAGAAGCTAAAGAGAAGCACAGTCATTTTTATATTAGCAAAGCTGGAGGTGAATTTGGGGAGTCACTGAGGGGGGAAGTAAACAGCATCCAAATCGGATGGTACTGGGCAGGCCTCAGTCAAAGCCTAAAGGCCCATCTTCCCCGGTGGAAACGCATCTCCCCCCGTTGCAGCATCCCACACAGTAGCGTCTTGCTCAGCCACACAGGGCCTGCGGGGACCATGGCTCACGGGCTCGGCTCAGCCCTGGTGTGTTCCCACAGGTGCCCCGGTGCATCATTCCGGCAGGTTCCTCTCTTGGCACGTGGGGGGGCCCAGGGGCCCGGGAGGGAGGCCAAGGGCTGCAGGCCTCACAGGAGAGCGCTCTGGTTCCCACTGCTGTTTCCGACTGCTGCCGGGGCCTCTCTGCTTCTTGCTGGGTGTCCGGTCGCTGGGTACCTGCAGGGAGGAAGTGGGAAGGACATCTGGCCGGCCGCCCTCACAACAAGGCCTTCTTGCAGTGCGTGGCAGCACAAGGCGGGTGTCTGTCTCCCCGCCGTTTCTGGCCCTGCAGCACACCTGAGAGCAGGCCCCCCTCCAGCCCTCGCCCCCTTGGACAGATGGGGAAATCAAAGCCAGGGTCCCGCCTCCGCAGAGAGACGATCCAAGCTCACCAGCGCCCACCCCGAAGCCCCTTTGCCCATTCAGACGCTAGCATAAACGAGGCCCTGCATGGGCCGGTGACCGGACCCCTGCAGTCTTCCCTTGCCAGGCAGAGGGGACACCCTCCCCCCATCACCCCCCATGCAGCCTGCAGAGATGCTCCTTCCTGCAACGGTGGCCCAGAAATGCTCTGCTCCCTGGCGTGCATATTCCCAGCAGCTGAAAAACTGGTACACTGCCACTAAACGTGGAGGCTCCATTTGTAGCTGCTGTGGCTAACGGCCATCAATTTATTTATTTAGGAAGCTTCTATGCCGCCCCATTCGCCGAAGCCTCAGGGCGGCTCACAACAATGGACATGAGTGACATATTCTAAGTGACAATGCAAAATTCTATAGCACTGACTCCCCTAATTTAAATCCCAGTTAGCACAAGAAAATGCCTTCTTCTTTGCCCTGAATTTCCACCCATCGATTTTATTGAACAAGCTCTAGTTCTCTCCCTCCCTCTTTGTGTGTGTGTGTGTGAGAGAGAGAGACAGAGAGAAAGAGAGACAGAGATTATCTCCATATTATCTCAGTTTCTTTCTGGGAAATTTGCACTTGGAAGGATCGCTATTAAATGTCTTTAAGGAAATTATACCATAAAAGACCCCTTCCACTTCGTTTTCATCTGTTCAATGCAGCCAGAATGGCTCGGCCGTGCCCAGGGCGGAATTATCAGCAGGCAGGACAAAAGATCTTTAGGGGAAAGGGAGGCTGAGCACAGGACGCCCGAAGCTGACTTGCTTTTGCCCTTCCCTCCTCGTCCCCAGCGCAGAAACGCCTGCTGTCAGCGCCTGTGTGTGGCGGCTTGAAGGGCGCAGCAAAGGCTCCTCGGACCCCCCTGCGTGGGCCGCCCCGCCCCCCACGCCACTTCTTGGGGAGCCGGACATTGCGCTGCCCGCACGCCATCAGCCGGCCGGGGGGACGCCTGTCCTGCGGGTGGAGGGGCCCCTCACCTTCTTCGGGCGCTTGGTCACCCTGAGGAAGCCCTTCAGGCCCTGTGGCCCAGGCCGGCGCTTGGCCACGGGGCCCGGCCCCTCTGCTGGCGCCGGCCTCCGCTTCAGGCAGGTCTCCCGCCACTTCTTCATCCGGTCGCGGACCCGGCTCTCTCTGCAAAAGAGGCTCTGGTCAAGGCCCTGGGTGCAGTGGAGCGGCAAGCCAGGACGGGTGGTGGAGGCGGAGGCGGACTCCTCCTGTGGCTGGGACCCTGCGCAGTGCCCGGCGTGGGCTGAGCTGCGGCCCAGCGGCGCCGATGCTTCGGGTCACGGAACGCTCTTCTCGGGCGAGGCAGGCGAGCTCGGGGGCGCCCAAAGGGCTGAGCTGGGCCGAGCCGCACGTTCCAGACGCCAGCCAGCCCCTGCGGCAGATGCAGGGAGCCTCGGGGCCGGCAGCCCGGTGCGGCCGGCGGAGCCTCCCCAGCCAGTCCGCGGCCCCGGATCCCAGTCCCCCCAACTGCGCTCGGCCCAACCCTCCAGGGTCCCCATTCTCGTGCACCAGCTGAGCAAGAGGGAGCAGTGATAGCAGAGGAGGAGAAATTTTGACCTCCCGTTTTGCGCCCCCGCCAAACTCTCCCTTCTTCTCTGCCCCGCTCCCCACCAGTGGGACTGCCGCCTGCCCCCCTCCTCCCCCCGCTTCCATCTCCCTTCCTTCTGGCATGGCCCCCTTGGCCAGGGGTGGCGCCCACTTCCTGCTGGCCCGCGGACGGGCCTCCTGCCGGCACCCTTCCCAGGGCCCTAGCCCAAGCAGCCTGCCCGCCGTCCCGTCCCTGCCCTCGCTGGGCCAGGAGCGCCTCTCGCCAGCCCCACCTGGCACACCAGACATGCAGAGCCCCGGATTCCGGCCCGTCGGGGACGCCCCGAATTTGGATGCAGCACCGGGACAGGCGAGTGTCCGTACGTGGCCCTTCCCAGGGGGAATTGCCCAGTGCAGAGGGAGCAAAACCTGCCGCTCGAAGGGCACTGTGTGGTGGGGGCCATTTTTGCTGGGGAGGAGTGTGAAGGCGGGGCGGTGAAGAAGGTGGGGAGGAAGGCAACGGGAGCGCTCCAGGCGTGGTGCTGGAGGGGAGCTTGCAAATACCTGGACCCACGGAGAGACGAGCAAGGGGCCGCTAGGCCAACGCAAGCCAGAAGCTGCCTGGAAGCGAACGTGACACGAATGAGGCCGGCACATTTCGGGGTGTCTTGAGCGGGCAAAGAAGGCAATCGTGCCGGGGAAGGAGGGGGAGGCCGAGGACGGGCCGGGGGGGCTCTGGAAAGGCCGCCCCGGCCTGGGATTTACACTGGCCGAAGGGCTGCGAAGGGGGGCTCTCATCCACAGGAGACCGCCATGTGGCGGGAGCAAAGCCTATGAACTGGCTGGGGGGCAGGCACTCCGCACATGCTCAGAGACAGCACTTGTTCACAGGGCCACCAGAGAGTGAAGATGGCTTCCCAGCACGTAACGTAAGACGGCCCATTTTCTGGGGACGCGCCGAGAGGAGCAGGGGTTGCCCGAGGGGGAGGCGGTCGCCCACCCCGCCCAGACCCAGGGTGGGGCGGCAGCGGGGGCCCCCTGCGGCAGCTCTCACTTCATGCACTTCTCGTGGGACAGGAACCGCACCAGCCCCTCCTCGTCCGGCTCCGGCCACCGCAGTTCCACCTGGCCCGGATCCGCCACCTCCGGCTGCAGGAAGAGCTGGCGCGTCTCCTGCAGGGCCCACCGGTCCGGCAGGGGGTACGCCTGCAAAGAGCAGGACACGGGAGGGTCGGGGACAGGCATCAAGCCGTGGGGAGGAGCGGGGCAGGGCGCCTGCACCCCGGGGTGCCCCTCGCCACAGCCGGAAGCGGTGAAACCCGCCTCCCCCCGCCTGGCACACTCCTCATCCCGCCTTCATCCAGGTGCACCTTTCCCCTAAAACCGGGCGGAGGGCCCCTTTTCAGCCCCCCCGCACTGAAGGGGACGCGGGGGCTGCTCTGTGGGGGCCCTGCTGCCTGAGCCGCCCGGCGAGGGAGGCTCGCCAGACACACGGGGAAGCGTTGCCTGCCTTCCCCCTCCCCGTGCCAGGAGTAAATGTCGCTTGTTCGGCGGAACAGGCTGCTGCTGCCTGCTTCTTATGGAGGCCGGGACTGGCCGACGGGCGGTGGGGCTCGCGTGGAAGGGGGCGCGGTCCGGGCACCTGGCGACTGGTGAGCTGCAGGATTCGCTCGATGCTCCCATGCTGCTGCATCAGCTTCAGGGCCTTTTTGGGGCCCACGCCGTGGATCTTCCCGCAGTAGTCGCAGCCCAGCAGGATGCAGAGGTCCACGAACTGGATTTGGGAATGGGAAGGCAGGCGGGGGGGGGGGGGGGGGGGGAGAGCCAAGCGGGCACTGCTTCACATGGCAAAAGTGCCACCTTTTTTAAAGATGTGTGTTGTTGCTGTTACGGGTTCTGTTTTTTTGGTTCGCTCTCTGTAAGCAGCCCCGAGACTTTTTTAGTAACGGGACGGCACGCAAAAACCTTAAATACATAACTAAATAAATAAGCTCCAGTTGGTTCAGAACAGAGCTGCCAGGATATTAACTGGGACTGGCAGGTATTTGCACGTCACGCTGGTCCTCTGTCGTCCACACTGGCAGCCAATTGAAGTCTGGGCCCAATTTAAGGTGCTGGTGACGCTGCTGGACTGCAAGTCCCATCAGCCCCAGCCAGCACAGATGATGGGGATCCCTAAATGGCCTGGGCCCGGATACCTGGAGGAGCGCTCTCCCACCCCTTGAGATCAGAGGCAGAGGCCCTGCTCTGGGAGCGGTCCATGAAGGAGATCAAGAGGCTGACCACCTGGAGCAGGGCCTTCTCTGCGGTGGCCCCCTGAGTACGAACTACACTCCCCAGAGTGTAGTTTCTGCCTTTTGGCGCCAGGCGAAAACCTTTTTATTTTCCCATTATCTTAATGCTTAATTGGTTTTAGTGTGTTTTTTATAATATTGCATTGTTGGATGCTGTGCCCTATTTTATCTGTTGCTTTGCTGTAAACTGTCCCGAGACGCCAGTCGATGGACGGTCTGTCAGAGCCATAAGCAAATAAACAAAACAAACACCCCCCCAGTCCTAATTCTGCACCGACACACCTCCCCTGCCCCCGGATCCCAAGCTGTAGGCTCCAGAAGGAAGCGGCAGCTGGCAGGGGTGTGGCAGCGCAGGTGAGGGAAGATGGCGAAAGGGGAGCAAAGCCGCCGCGTCTGACGCTGAGCGTGTCAACACGGACGTGAATCCCGGGGGGCCGGCCCAGCCAGGCACGTGAGAACCCGGAAAAAGCTGAACCCGAGAGGGGCCGGGATCGGGCCGTGCAGAAGTCCTGCGCAGAGCCACCCGGGAGGCCAGTCGGGAAGGCGGCCTCCTCATGCCCCCTGGCCCAGAGCAACCTGGCCCAGCATGTATACCAGGAGTACAGGATGTGGGAGCCTCAGACGCTGCTGGACTGCAAGTCCCATCAGTCCCAGCTAGCACAGGTGGTGGAGAGAGGAGTTGCACTTGGACTCCACCTGGCAGCTGCACATTTTGCCCCGAGCCTTTGGGCAAGGAGGTCCGTGATGGAGAGCACACGGGGGGTTGGGGGGGGGACGGGCTGAAGCCCCCCGCTGCCCCTTACCTGCTCCTGAGTCAAGCGCAGCTTTTGCAGAACCTCCGGCAAGGCGATCTCCTCCAGGTCACTAGAGAGGGGAGCGAAGCGCGGTGCTCATTTTGAGGAAGGCAGCGAGGCGCCTGCAGCCCCTCCGTGCCACGGGGGCCAGCCATGGAAAGCGCCGCTGAGCGGCTGCCCCCGCCCGAGGCTCCCAGCCGGCCTGGCTGGACAGCGTGGCTCCTGGTCCCACTCCCCAGCGCAAGAGACACCAGCAGGGGGGGCGGCACCACCCCACCCCCAGTTGCCTGGAAATGCCAGCTGGCGCAGGAGCCGGCGGTCCCACACGCGGTGTGTTGGCAGGCCGTGCCCTGAGCGCACTGCTCGCTCGCCCCCCCTTCCATCCTGCCCGCTGGCGTGTTCTTGGGCGACTGGAGCCGAGCCGCTGCAGCCGGGGCCGGTGACCCCTCCAGCCGGGAGCCCCCCTTCCATGACCTCCTGCTGCAGCTGCTCCTCCCCGCGGCTGGGGTCTCGCCCCTCCCCGGTCCTTGGGGCCGCAACCGGGCACCTCGCCCCTTGCCGGGACCCTTCCTTCGCGTCTGGCCATCTGCCTCGACCCGCCCTCTTCCTGCCGCTGAGAGCAACCCTGCTCACGCTTCCTCCCTGTGCCCGGATCTGCCCTTCGCATGCCCTAACGTGGGCCTGGCGCAGCCGCTCCACTGCCCAGTGGCTCTGTGCCGGCAGGAGGCCCGGGCCCAGGGCCTCCCGGCCAGCCGTCCACGGCCTCTGCGTGGCTGAGCCTCCCCTCCCGCTTGCGGGGGCCGGTCTCCCACTGGGGCACAACCTGCCTCCGGCGCCCATTCTCCCCCAGCGCGGCTTGGCCGCTGCCCCACCGCACTGCCCTGCGCAGCGATCTGCCTCTAGAACAAGAACCCGGGCGCTGGAGGCCCCGTCCTGCCCGGAGCCCGCTCTCTGCCCCAGACCCAGGGGAGTCGGTCACGGCTGCCCACGTCTGGGAGAGGGGCGCTCCGCACAGACAGACCTGCGCTTCACGGCCGAGCCCCGGAGCAAAGAGCCGCGTCCGGCACGCTCACCCAGACTTGGTGTTGAGGTGCCGAAGGAGCCGCAGGCTGCCGAAGGGCAGCGCGTCCAAGTCTTCCGTGGCTGTGCACCAGGCGTGCCCGGACTTCACCAGAGCCGCGCAGGTGGCTTCTGCCTCCGCCGGCGCCTGCAACCCAGCAAGAAGCGGGAGACGGCAGGGCAAGTGATGAAATACACTGCACCCCACACACACACACACACACACACACACACACACACACACACGTGCGTTTGACGAGCAACACAAGATGGAGACAGAGTCTTCTCTGCCTCCACCTCTTGCAACTTTCCTCCTCTGCTGGAAGCAAGTATTTCGCACATTCCCATAACTCCCAGGATCGAGTGAACATTCATTAGCACGAAGCAGGAACCCAGCTGTAAAAAGTAATGAAATACCGGAACCGACCGAGCATGGGAAAACAGGACTCGTTGCAAAAGGATTTCCAGGGGGTTGCCACACTAGTCCATTGCAGCAAAAAAACCAACCAGACTTGTGACATCTTAAAGAGAAGCGTGTTTGTTATAGCAGAAATGCATTTAGATAGGATGAAGGGGCCGCAGTCCACAAATGTTGTGCCACAATAAACGGAGTACCCTTGATGACACCACAAGACTCTTACTCCGAAAATGTTTCCTGCAGACACTCGAGGAGGTCAGATTAATCCTGCTCAGCCCCCTGCACCCCGTGCAGCCCTGCACAGTCCGGGCAGTGGACTCTCCAAGCCACGGGCCCACGACGTCACGGGACTCTGGCTCCAAAGCCACCAGTATCGGTGCGCTGCAACATTACACTGGGGCTGCAGCGACGCCTTGTCCATGGGCTGCCCTTGCAGACGGCCTGTCTCGCACTGGTCCCGTCAAAGACTGCAGCCCCGAGCACACTTCCAAGCCAGTACGAGAGGTCTCGACCGTGAAGCCCCAGAGGGCGTGGGGATCTCAGGGACCAGCCTCCCCTCAGGGTCCTGCCTCTACGTTAGACCTGCCTCAGAGGCTCAGCCCTGCCCCCGGGAAGCCATGGGAGCGCTCGGAAGCATGGCCTGCTCAGTGGTGGCACCTCCATTCAGGAGCACTTCCGGGACTCCCAGGAGGAGCCGCCTGGACAGAATTGCTCTTCTGGGAAGACCTTTCCATTTCCCAGCACGGCTCGACCTGCTGATTCGAACCCTGCTTTCACCGCTCACGCTGCACCGAACGCTTGTGCCGATGGACCCCCCTGTTGTGCTCCGACCCTCCATGAGCCATTGTGGGGACTCCTGGGCAGAGGAGCAGGCCTGGCAGAGGAGGACGGCCGGCGGTTACCTGCACAGAGGGGACCCCCAGGTAGCGCAGCAGGGTCTCCAAGTCGTGCCTGAGGAGCTGCTGCTTCCGGTCCCCCGCAGCAGGATCTGAAACAGAGCAGGGCAGCTGCGGGAACGCTCTCCGGGCGGCAGCCTCGCAGGGGGGCTGCCACGCACCTGTGGCTGAGGGGAGGATCAAGCGCCCCAGAGGGGAACAACGGGGCAGTCCCAGCTGGCCTTACCTGCAGCCCCCTTCCGGACTCCAGAGGCGAGCGCGCGTTTGGCCAGCTGCAGGGGGGAACCAGAGTTACGGCACGGCCCTGCCCTCGCCCTCGCCCTCGCCCTCGCCGGGGCCCGCATGCCTCCCCTGCCCCGGGGGCTGCCTGGTTGCCAGTGAGGGGGTGGCAGATGCAGACCCCTCTCACCCCCGCACAAAAATTCCCTGGCTGCAGGCCACATTTTACTTGCTGTTTTAGTGAATTTTAGGCACCAGCCTACAATTAGGCACGGAAGGCACTGCCCTCCACCCGCAAAACTGCGCCCGTCCCCCTTACGAACCACGGCCTGCTTGAGGTCTGGGGGCTTCCCGTCGAACACGAACACCGGTTTGATGCCATTTTCCAGGAGATGCAGCGTCCGGTAAAACAGCCCCTGCAGGGCACTGGAACGCAACATGCCAGGCTGTGAGCAGCGCGGAGCGGAGCCAGAAGGACGGGGATGCGGGGCAACGGGGTGGGCTTCCGGCTGGTGCTCCCCTGCTTCACTTCCGCTGCTGCGGAGAGAGCCCGGGGCGGGGGGCGGAAAGGCCCGCCCAGCTTGGACAGCAGCCCTGCCCCGGTCAGCACGGAGGCAGCCACGGAGCCCCGAGTCCAGGGCAAGGCCAACGGCCCTGGGACCCCCTGCCCCAGGGCACCGGGAGGGAAAGCGGCCCTCCTGCCCAACTTGTCTGCCGTCGCTCACCTGATATCTTGTCCGTGGCGATTGACGATCTTGGGCATCGCCGAGCAGAACTGGCAAATGACCACGGAGGCGTCCAAGGCCACCACCTGGCCTGAGCCAAGCAAGGGGAAAACGAGAGAGTGGGTTGGAAGCACCAAGGCAGAACGAGTCAGGAGGGGCCTCCCGGGCCATCTAGTCTGACCCCTGACTGCAGCCAGCTCCGCTCAGGACACGCCCGCCATGTGCAGGCCCCACTCAGCTGGAGGGAGACCAGCCTGGCCTAGCTGTCCCGCTGCCCGCTCTGGCCCCTGCGAAGCCACCTGCTTCCTTCAAACCAGGTGCAGCCCCCAAATTCGGACCACTCGCTGCATCTATTCCTGCTGTCCCAGAGAACTGCCCCTCCCCTGCCCCCAGGCGCCTTCTCCCCTCGTCGGCTCCCCAGTCACGGACCCCCAGAGAGCACGAGGCAGACACTGGCCGCTGCAGCCCAGCGATGGCCTCTGCTCAGCCCGAGTGCGGCCCCCGTGGCCCCGGATGTGTGGGCCCGCTGCTCTCACGACTCCCGGACAGCAGGGCTCTTGGCCGGGAATTCCCGCAGCTGCAGTCCAGCCTGTGCGGAGGGCACCCTGCTGGGGAAGGCTGTGTGACGGCGCCCCAAGACTCCCCCTCCTGGCTTGAGGGGCAGAACTTGTGGGAAATGCCTTCTGAGATGCCACGGGCGATCCCTGGCTTGTAAGGTGGTGCAGTGGTCAAGTGCGCAGGGCTGGGGGCCCAGCGACCCGCTTCCAGTCCCTTCTCAGTCATGGAGCTCCCTGGGTGAGGTTGGGCCAGGCACAGACTCTCGGCCCAAGCTACCTCACAAGGCTGCGGTTGTGAGGCTAAGACTGAAAGGAGGAGGAGAATATGCAAGCCCACTTTGAGTTTCTTGGAAGGGAAAAAGCAGGATATAAATATAATAAATAGTAAGAATAGGCCAACAAATATGGAAAACAAACATCCAACAAATTGGATGTGATTGGAAACATTAATTGTACATTCCGGCGCCCGAGAAAGGAGTTACGGAAGAGTGCAGCCCCCGGGGGACCAGTGAGCCCGCTTCTTGTTCAAGCAAAGGGATGCTCAAGGTCAAGAAAGCTTTTTGCTCTGTGTGGAGCAAAACCTTCAAGCAGGAGATCATATTACAATTCCATGCTGGCAACAAGGGGGCGCCCAAGAGAATTTCAGAGGGGCAGTCCGTGCTTCAAAGCCTTGGACTGTGTGGACCACGAGACGCTCTGGGGCGTCTGAAAAAAAAGGGGGTGCCTCGGCACACCCTTGTCCAGCAGGTCACCTGCATGCGGACAAGAAGCTACGGCCAGAGCAGAGTGGGGAAAACGGAAGCGGTTCCCTTGGCAAAGGGGACAGACAAGCGTGGCTCTCCTCTCCCAATCCATTCAACCCAAAGGCATAATGCAGCATAAGGAAACCCGGACTGGAAGCAGAGGAAGAAGGAGGACAAGCGGGGAAGGCCGTCAGTCATTAAGACAGGCAGAACACAGCAACGGCCTGAGCGACTCTGCAGGCGAGCATCTCCTTGTTGGCCCAAGTTGCCAGGCTGTTTCCAAAGTGCAGCAAGCCTGCGGACGGGCCCTCCCCAGGATCCTGTCCCTGCCAGCCCTGCTCAGCCCCAGGAAACTCAAGGATGCGGTTTCCCTGATGAGCAACACAAATTGCACAACTTTATTGTCAACAGTGGCAAAATGTGAATTGCGAAAGGTTCCGCATCTCTCTGCTCAGCTCGAAGGGAGGCTGCGGCCAAGAAATTAACAGAAGACCGAGGCTTCTTCAGCAGCGGACCAACCGGAACAGGCCCTCAAGGGCAAGGGCGCTCCCCTGGGGGCCACAGCCAGGTCGTCCGCACGACCAGATTCCTGGTGTGAGTGTGAAAGCGGGTCAGTGAAGGCAACGGGAGCGCTCCAGGCGCGGTGCTGGAGGGGAGCTTGCAAATACCTGGACCCACGGAGAGACGAGCAAGGGGCCGCTAGGCCAACGCAAGCCAGAATCTGCCTGGAAGCGACGTGACACAAATGAGGCCGGCACATTTCGGGGTGTCTTGAGCGGGCAAAGAAGGCAATCGTGCCGGGGAAGGAGGGGGAGGCCGAGGACAGGCCGGGGGGGCTCCGGAAAGGTAGCCCCGGCCTGGGATTTACACTGGCCGAAGGGCTGCGAAGGGGGGCTCTCATCCACAGGAGACCACCATGTGGCGGGAGCAAAGCCTATGAACTGGCTGGGGGGCAGGCACTCTGCACATGCTCAGAGACGGCCCCCCGTCGCTCCGCTGCTCCCGGCTCCCGGCGGGTCAGCGCGAGTTTCCAACGTGGGCCGGGCCAGCTCCGCGCTTGGGCTCCGGCGGGGGCTGCTTCTCCGGACCCCCCCCCCCCCCCCCCCCGGGCTGCGCGGCGCGCCCCGCCCGCCGATCCGCCCCCGCCCCGCCCGGCCGCCGCGGCGCTCACCACGGTACTGCTCCAGCGGCACGGGGCGCACGGCGTCCGGCGTCTCGCTCTTGATCAGCTCGGCCAGCCTGGCGATGCCCATGGCCGGGCGCGGCGCGGGCGGAGCGGCCGGAGGACGCGGCCGGACCGGGCGGCGGCGGCGGCCAGAAGCGCGCACGGGCGGAGCCGGCGGGAGAGCCCGCCCGCCCGCTCGGTTGCGCAAGACGGCGGAGTGGCCCCGGCCGCGTTCGGCAAGCCCTCGACGAGACTGCTCGCGGCACCGGGGCGGGTAACCGGTTCCCGGGGGACGGCGGCGCCCGGATGGGTCAGGGCGGCCCCAAGAGGGCGGGCAGGGGTCGCTGCCCCGAGGCGCTTGCGCGGACGTGCCCCCTCCCCAGAATATACGCTGGCAGGCGGCCCCCCAGATGTGCTGGGACCTCCGCTGGGAAGCAGGGGAGTTGCAGTGGCAACACAGCTAGAAGGCACGCACCGGGGCGCGGAAGGCTAACCGGTGATGTTGGCTCAGAAGGAGGCAAGAGAGAGGGAGAGCCGCATGTCGGGCTAGCAAAACTCTCCGCCCCGAGGAGCTTCCAAGCGACGACAGGGGTTTCATGGAGGGTCACGGGCTGCCAGGATCGCGGTCCAGAGCGAGGAACTCTCGAGACCTTCCCCACTTGTTGCTCTGTCATTTATCAGTTGCATGATTTACTATCCAAGGCTAGGTCACGTCGCCTACCCGGAACTTCCCTGCTCTAAAGGCGTGGTTGGTATCTAGGCAGGGTGCCCGCCGTGCTCTGATTATAGGTAACCCGAAGTGTGGAAGAACTGCAACGTTTCCTTTCCTTCTTGGGGGATGCTACTGCGCCTGCCCAGTGCCCTCCACTGAAGCGCTTCCGTGCCCTTCCCCCGGAATCTCCAATCGCTTTTTCCGTTGTGGCCGGAAGGAAGGCGTGGCCGGCGATCATTCGGGAGGATGTAGTATGCGCGGCGGGAACGCCGGGGGACGCCCGCGCCCCGACCTGCCCGTCTCTGTGGTTCAGTGCCGCTGCAGCCGAGGCCGCTCCGGGGGCCCCCCGCAGGCTCCTGCCGTACCGCTCTAGCCCAAGCGACTCGCTGGCGGGAGCTTGGCGGACCGCTTGCTCGCGGGCTGGGTCGGGCAGGGTAGGGAGCGGAGCTCGGGACGGGGCGGGAGCCGGAGGTGCGGGAGGCGCGGCGAGCCCGTCCCCGCCGCTTCGGGCGGCCCCGCCTGCCGGCCGTCCACCGGGAGCCGCCGCTGTGCCTCGCGCACGGGCGCCCCTGCCCGGCCGCGGCGCCCCAGCCGCGCCGGAGGTTCCCGAGCCTTTCCGCGGAGCGGGGCCGGGGGCCCGGGGGTGCTGCGCGGAAGAGCCCGGCGAGGCGCGTCTCCCGTCCGGCCGCCCTCTGCCCTCTCGGTTGCCGCCAATCTGAACGGGGTGCCTTGCTGGGGCGGGAGGGAGCCGCGTCACTCGGTGGAGGCACCCGCGGTGTGTGGGGCACCACTCCCATCGTCCCCAGCCAGCGTGCGATGGGGGTTGCGCTCCCGCACACCTGCGGGGCGCACAGTTACCCCTGAGTTCTGCCGGGCGGAGCGGCGTGTGCAGCCCCGTTTGGCTCACGGCTCGGGGGGGGGGGGCGGGGGCGGAGGCAAAAGACCCGCACTCCGAGGGGCGCCGCGCCGATCCCAACTCGGCCTCCCGCTGCCGGTCGCTGAGCTTCAGGCGAGGCATCCCGGGCTCTTTGGAGGCTGGCGTGCAAATGCTTGTCGGCCGTCGGACGGGAAGGGCTGCTCCCTGGAGAAGCCTGGCGGGACAGATTGGGACCCCCGGCCAGGCAGGCTTGATGAGATATGACGCCTGCGCCAAGGCGCCTGAGCCTTGCTGGATCCCCCCAGCCAGACGCTGTCAGCAAAGCACGGACGTGGCCCTTCCACTCTCGCTTCCCAGCGGCCGCTCAGTGGTAGACTGCCTCTGGTGCGGGGGGCTCTACAGAGCCGTCACAACTTAGTGTGCTGTCTTCCTCCATCCCCTTGATACCACATCCTGTGGCGGGCAGCCGCAGCAATCCGTTGCTGTTCCTTTTGCCGGCTTCATCAGGTGCATCGGAAAACTCAAGGCGAGGGCCAAGCAGCCCCTCCTGCCCACGGACCAAGTCGCCGCTGAGGCCCTGGCTAGGTTTTCATGTGATGTTGAAGGAAGGCTGGACTTCCTTACCGGCCAGAGCAGCCCGTTGGGCTCCTGGACTGGCGCGCTTGCCTGAGGCTGGAATGGGAGGGGAGGGGAGGCGAGGGCCCCGGGCGGCCCCGTCATTGTGCCTGGCTCAGCGCTTCCAGGGCGACACAGGCGGGCTCCCAGGTGGCCAGGGCCCCTCTGCCTCCGCAGCACGGGGGGCAGCGTCCCTGCACGGGACAGCCCAAGCCAAGGCACGACTTTGCCCCAGGAGGACGGCAGGGCTGCTCCCCAGGGTTGCACGCAGTGCCCGCCATGGCATGGGGTGCCACCGCAGCGGCTCCCCTGGCCCATCTCCTGCCCAGGACCTGGCGTGGGTAGCCGAGTGGGCGAGCCGGCCTGGCCCCCTTCCCACGTTAACCCGCCCTCCGTCTCGCCTTGCAGGGCCGCTGCCTCGATGCCCGGCTGGCCTGACACGGCGGCGACCGGGGCGCTCTCCAGCCTGCTGCTGTGTGCCGTGTGCCTCGTCTCCAGCATCCAGACCGTCCAGGTGGGAAGGCCCGGGCCCTGCTCGGGGATGCCTCCGGCACTTCCTCTCGCCTGCCTCAGCCATCGTTCGGCACCCATTTTGGAAAGGGACAGCCTCCCCCGCCCGAGCTGGGGCATGGTGGGTGCTCAGGGCGACGTGGCCCAAGGGCCAGACCAAGGAGGGCTGCAGAAGGCCCGGTGCGGTTGTGCCTGCCCCTGCCCCTGCCCCGGAACTCCTGCAGGCTTTCCCCTGCTCCCCCCGCACCCCTATAGCCTGCCTTATGCACAGGGCGCCAGCTGGGGAAGGCAGCTACAGGATGTAAACCATGCTCCCCCATGAAGGGGGCCGTGGACCCGGAGAGTAGCCCGGAAGAGCGGGGAGGGGGTCGGGTGCAGCTGGGGATTTGGAGCAGGAAAGGGCAGTGGCTGATGGGCGCCTCGCAAGCTGCCATCTGCCAAGGTGGCCCCCGGTCCACGTGGCCCATCTCGTCGGCATGAACGGGCTCTCGGGCTGGGCTCTCCCGGCCAGGGGTCTTCTGTGTGTGACGCGGGGGCCCCACTGCTCTCGCTTCCGTAGCCATCGCTCCTCACCTGCCGTTCAACCGTCTCTGTCCGCAGATCAACCGAGGGGCGGCTGCCGGGTTCCTGCTGCAGGCGCTCGTGCCCCTGATGAAAATGGCCACGGGGCTCACCACCCCCCTCGGACTCGGTGCGGCGTCTGCCCCGGAGCCCCCCGAGGCGGGCTGGGTCTCCCCAGTGGTGGGGCTCCCCCTGCTGGCCTTCGGCTTCCACTGGCTGAACGGGGACCGCTCCACGGCGAACGGCCTCCTGGGGGGGGGCGCTGCTGCTGGCCGGGGCCTGGGGCTCCCTCACGGACGAGGGCAAGGCCGTGGCCACCCACTCCGTCACCCTGGTGGCCGCCGTCACCATCCTGATCGTCTCGGTCTTCACCAGCAATGCCTACGGGGTCCTGGGCAGCCTGCTGGTGGGCGCGGCGGGGCTGCTGGCCGGGACGGGGCTGCCGCTGGCCGTGGCCGCCCGCCAGGGGGACATCCTTCATGGCCTCATGGCAGCCGCGAACCTGGCTCTGTGCTGGGCTCTCCAGGCTCAGCACCAGGAGCTGGGGCGCGGCGGCGGGGCCCTCGTGGCTGCTGCCTCGGGCTGACGGGGAGGGGGGCCTGCGGCCTGTTAGATGGGGAGCAGCGACACGGTGGGGCCGGGCACTGCTGGTGCGCGACTCGGGGGTGCATGCAGGGCAGCTCCCAATTTGGCAAGGGGTCCGGGCACCCGGTGGGCTGTGGTTCATTGGCAGAGCCCCCGGTTCTCCAGGGAGGACCCTCGGCGTCGGCGGTGCTGCGTCAGCCGGAGGGAGGGCCTGGCTTGGGAAGGCTCTTCACACAATCAGAGCATCTGGGTGTGAGCCGGGTGTCTGCAGGACATGATTTGCATACACACCTCCTGGCCACAGCTTGTCGTGTCGTCCAGGTCTGTGTGACATGGCTTGTTGGAGCATTAACCAACCTGCGGATAACCCACGGTTTGTTCTAGGGCCATCTGAGGGTTGTTCAGCCCAGGTTTGGACGACACAACGAGCAAGGGGCACCCAGCCTGTCCCCTGGCTCAGAACAACTCGGGTTCCCCCCAGGGTTCCCTCTCAGCCTGCGGGCTACTTCACCGCAGGTTTTGGGGTCCTTTGTGGAGATGCAAATGGGTGGCCCCTGGAAGGGCCCAGCCCTGGACCGTGTGAAGGTTGCAGCAGGACCCCAGTTCCTGGCCTGTGGCAGACGCCCCTAGGAAGAGCCCTGAAACCGGGTCAGAACAAAGGCCTCTTGTCCGGCGTGTCTGTTCCTGGCCAAGCAGCCTCCCACGGACGCCCGCAAATGAAGCAGCATCGTTCCCCAGTGGCTGGAGGTCAGGCCTGTTCTGCAAGGGGCATCGGGGCTGAGCCTGGAAGGAACTGAGCCAGCGTGGAGTAAAACAAAGCGAGTTGGACCAGGACTCGGGAGACTCACGTTCCGGCCAGTTTGGCCACGAGGCCCCTCTGTGACTCTGGGTTAGCCATGGCTCTTCCTGACCAACCTCACAGGGCTGTTGTGAGGAGGGGATGGAGCCTCCAGAGGGAAAAGGTAGGATGTAAATGTAAGCAGGTCATATGCGTTGTAATTGTGAGAAATAAAGATGGCGCCAAGGCACGCCTTCCCTGCAGCCCTCGCCTCGCCCTGCAGCGGCTTGGGGCTTTCTCACTCAGAAGACGGCGCGCTTCTGGCAGCCTCCCACTGCCCCACGGATGTGTGGGGCTTCCCATGGCCCTGCTGACTGGGAGGGTGGGGGCCGCCGTTCAGCATGTCGGGGAGAGGCCAGGCTGGGCAGCCGGTCTCGCGGGGCCTGCGGCCTTTCCCGCACGGAGCAATGGGTCCCGAAGCCCACGGGGGTTTCTGTCGCGAATGAGCGGCTGGAGTCATGCACCGAGCAGGGGCTGGACGCAGGGCCTTTGCAGGGCCCCGACACACGCGGCTGCTCCAGCGTTCTGGGATTCCAGACATGAAGCTGGAAAGAGGGACAGGCACGCTGCAAACCTGAACGGGGACCTCCTCCTTGCTGTTCTCAGAGCTTGAGGAAGCTGGGAAAACGGCTGGAGGTGCACCCTGCCTGTCACAGGCTAGCCCAGGGCCGGCCGCACGGCCATGCGGGAGCCACCGAGCTCAGCCGGGCGTGCTGTCCATGGGGTGGCTCTTCTGGGCCCTGGTATTGCAGGAAGGAGGAAGGTGGCTTGCCCTCCGCCTGCTCCACAGCAGGCAGAACTCGACAGCTCCGTCTCGCCCCCTTTTACTTGCCTTTTTCCGAACATGCCCCACATCTTGTGGCCTTTCTCCACTGGGGACTTGCCCCCAGCGCTGGCATGTTTTGATTGCCGTTTGTGGGCAAAAGGCCCAGCTACCGAAGGATCTGTTACCTGACCCCTCTCGCAGCGGGCAGGGTGGCATGCCGAGCTGGGCACCCTAAATTCAGGAAGGGGCAGAGCAGGAAGAGCGGCAGGAAGCTGGCCGGCCGTGGCAAGGCAGGGCGTCCTCTGCTCGGAGGGCTGCGGGGACAGAGCGAGCAGCGGGAAGGCAAGGGCAGGGACGTGCCCAGGTAACTGGCCATGCCTGGAAGTGCAGGGCCTGGGCAGGCCAGGAAACAGATGCCGGGAGGGTGGGAGTTCCTAGCCGGGCCAGACAGGGACCTTAGATGGCCCGGCAGTGCACCCAGGCAGTCTGACTGGCCCCGCTGAGCAGCTGTTTCCTGAAGGGCCGTGTGCTGCAAGGGATTCTGGGTCACTGGAAGTCCCTGCAGGCATGGATGGGCCTGGCTCTGGTGGCCGCGCTCTGCGATGCCTCTCCGTGCCCGGCTGGCCTGGGCTTCATCGTGCCGTGCTTTTTGGGGAGCAAGGTGAGGCGAGGCACGGCCGGTGCCGTGATGAGCATCAGGGTGCATGTTGTGTCTGGCTGGAATCACAAGGCACGATCCAGAAGTGCTTCCGGTTTCCGCACAGACTCCTCAGTGTGAGTGGGGGCTGCACAGGAGCCGTTTCCTGCCTCCCAGATATTCTGTGGCACAAGCCTGCAGAATTCGGGGCGCAGAGCCGCAGAGCCACGTTCCCGGTGAGATGGTGAAGGGCCCTGTCCCGGTGCCAGCCGCCGCTCTTCTGACTTTGCACCGCACCCAGTAGGTGGACCTGGAGCACCGTGGCCACAAACCCTTCCGACCCTCGCCCTCGGAGCGCTCGCAGTCCAAAATGCTGCTGCGCAGCTCGCCGGCCACCTCCCCTGCTCCTTGAGCCCCCGAGGTCGCGGTCACACGCGGCGGGCAGGGGGCGAGTTGTGCAGCCCCACCTCGAGCTGGGGCTTCCCTCAGCCGGTGCTTCACACACTGCCGCCTGGCCACGGTCACCGCTGCCTGGGATACACCATGCCTCCGTGAGAACACCCCCGGTGCGCACTGTTTGTGCGGATCCCGCAGTGGAAGCATCATGGGCATGAAACATGGAAGAGCGAGCTCCCAGGCGGTTGGCCCGGGGCCAGGGGCTGCCGGCTGTGCCCTTCCCTTCCCTGGCCACGTCGCCTCAAGGGCCCCCGACAGCACGATGGGGTACACGTTTCCCGGTTCACAAACTCTGTCCATCTAAACTCAGACGCTCGAAGCGGCAGGCGTGTGTCCTCAGGTGGAGCAAAGGGGCACGATCCCGCACTCCCCGGCAGCCAAGATCTGTGCAGTCTCGTGGGGTGGAGGTCTGGGAAGCCACCGGGGCAAGCGCCCCCCAGACGGGCCAGCAGACCCCCACCCCGCATCGCCTGTGCCGAGGCCTGTGCCATTTTCAGATATTCCCTGTGGAGATCAGACGGGCCGCCCCCTCCCCGCCCTCCCCACGCACCGAGGGGCAGCATGACTTGCGCATGACTCCCAGGGAGAGGCCAAAGCAGCGCGTCTGCCGAGGGGTCCCTTGGAGCACGGCCTCTTGCCGGTGGGGGCTCGGCTCCAGCGGAGTGAGGGCGGGCTGGCCCCGGCCAGGGAGACGAACGCCCAGCGGCCACCAGGGCTGTCTGGCTGCTGGATGCTGAGCAGAGGCTGAAGCCACAAAGCGGGGACCGAAGGGTCAGCTGGACGCGGGTTCTGGACGGGTGGGGCTCCTCTTCCCCTCGAGGCCGAGGAAATCCGTTCCTGCGTTCCGGGGGGCTGTTCCCCACAATCGCAGAGGGGAGGCTGCGGGGCTGGACGGAGCCCTTCCTCCTCTGCGGGGCCTCCGTGGGAGGGCAGAGCCAAGCAAGCCGCAGTTGGGTGCTGATGCGCCGCTCTGGGATCGGGGCCGTGGCGCTCGGCTTTTGTGGAAGGCACTCGGTGCGTGGGCCTCTCGCAGGACCGGCCGAGACCTGGCCGAGCGGCCTGAGCGCGTGGGAGCACGAGGAGCAGTCGGCCAGCAGCCCTGGCAGGCCAGCCATCCGTGAGGGAGCTGGAGCTGAAGCCAGGCACGGCTCTGGGCGCGATGGGCCGGGTCCAGGGCTGGGCCGGAGACCCCAGGGAGCTGGGCTTCAACGGGGGCCATCCGGGGGTGTGGCCCGAGGTTCCGCTGGCAGGCGTGTGGTCCAGTCAGTCCCCTTGCCCTGTGCCTGGCCAGAGCCAGCAGCCCTCCAAGCTGGGGGCTGCCCTCCCGGCTGGGTGGCCTCTGGAAGTGTGGGAGGGCAACCCCCAGGGCAACCCCATGGCCGCAGGGTGGACCCCCGACTGGTTCTGCGCCTGGGTAGGCAGTCTGGCTCCCGGGTACCCACCCCGGAAGAGGACACGCAGCTGTGACGCGAGACACCAGGGCGGATGGAAGGAAGGAAGGAAGGAAGGTGCGGGGGCAGAGCCGCAGGGCAGAACTGCCTGGCATGACTGCTCCTTTGGCCACCCGCCCGCCGTGGCCCTGGCAGTCTCGGCACGGCGCTCTTGCCCCCGGGGCCGGCGCGTGTGGGCTGGGGCCGTGTGAGGCGCCCTCCCTCCTGGCCGCCTCCCGCCCGCCCGGCGCCCTGGAGCTCATTTGGCCCCGCTCCCTCCGCACGTCCTGGGCTGTGCGGTCCAGAGGAGCCTCCCAGCGGAGCCTGGGGCTGCCAGCCGTTCCTCCCTGCCCCGCCCCCTCCCGCCCGCCCTGCGCAGGGATTGGGGCAGGGGAGGGGTGGGCGGGGCCTGCTGGAGGGCTCCCAAGCCCCGGGGGCACCGAGCAGGTGCCTGGTGGGCAGCCCAGCCCTTCTGGAAGGCAAAGGGTGGATTCTCGCTTCCTGGCTCCAAACACTCGCTGAACTGAAACTAAAGGCAAGGCAGTCGCGCTGCGGGACACACCTGCTCTTCCGCCACCTCCTCTTCCTCTTCCTCCCAGTTTCCTCTTCATCCTGTGCGGCGGAATCCGCTCCGGCCCTGGCATGCGGCGCCTGGAGGATCTGCCTGTTTGGGGAATGCCAGGTAAATGCCCCACCAGGGCTGGGGCGCAGCCGGCCGCTCCCGCGGGAGGGAAGGGCTGTTCTGCCCAAGGGCTCGAGGACGGCTGCCAGCTCGGCGGTTCTGCACGTCGTGACAACCCAGCAACGTGCCGGGTTCAGGTAACCCACCAGTTTCTCGTGGGTTATGTAAGCCACAGCACCCAAGGGGTTGCTGCGTATTCCACATGGGGGGCACCCGCATCCCACCTGTATTGCGGCCTCACCATGGGTTAAATAATGCAGAGACGCTGTGTCCTACGGGTGGAATGTGGGTTGTGGAAAGGTGGGTTGCTGGTGAATCAAGGCTTACTATTCCATGGGAACCCTGCACCATTATTCAACTGGGTTGTCAGCCACAAAGACTCTGGAGTTCACAACTCAATAACTGGATGCTCCTGAGAGAGTTGTGCTTAGCAACCCATAGTTAAACCACAGTGCAGAGTTCACACACAATGACAGCCTGCAATTCAGCAGTGGCCCATGGTACTCAGCCCATACTCTGGATTGTCGGTGTGTACGAATGAGGGAACTGCTCTCTAGGTGTCTTTGTCAGCCTTCCTTAGTCTGCCATACTGGCTGGCTGGAATGATGGGAACTGCAGTCCAATACACTGGGGGGCACCAGGCTGGGAGCTGCCCGGTGTGAACAAAGAACAGATGGAAGCTTCATTCTGAGACAAGGGCGGAGAGAGAAAGACGCTCGCAGACGGAGCTCTCTGGGCTGCCGCTGTGGGAGCTGGCAGAAAGAGAGCAGCGCCCGAACTGTGCCTTCGTTCGGCTCGGAGCGGGGCCGGTCACGCGCGAGGGCAGGCGAGCCGAGAGGGCGGCCAGAGCGGGCGGTTTCTGGGGCTGAGGGGCTGCATCGTCTCACTCCTGCCACCCATTAGGGGCTGCCCCACTCCCACTACGCGCCTCTGGGAGCCCGGTTCTGCCAGCAAGAAAGGCACACGCAGCCCTGCTCTCGGCTGATGCTTCCACGCAGACCCCCTGGCCGGGCCGCACCTGCCGAGTCCCCCGCAGCACTCTGGGGAGAGACGTCAAGGCCCCTTGGGAGGGCTGCGTGGTCCGGGCTTTGGTGGGGTCCAATGCAAAGGGGGGCTGGGTGCCCCAGAGGACGGGGCACCTGCCAAGGCCTCCACTATTTGGGTGCGGCACAGGAGAGCAAAACCGAAGGGCCCCTTTGCAGAGCACGCCACTGATTTAAGGCAAGTCTCTGGGGCGGCTGGTGGTCTCTGCTCGGGGGTGACTGAAGCAGCTCGGGGCAACGCTTGGAGGAGAAAGTGTCCTCCTTTGCCATGGTGGTCCTGCGAAGCTTTGAGGTGGAAGGAAAGGAACCGTTTCCTTTTCGACATGCTTAAGGGTTTTGTGGAAGCACCTGCTGCTGGAAGAGGGACTTGCAAGGGGCTTTGGCCCCATCCAGCGCTTGGCCTGGGCTGGGCCACTCGCATCTTCCCAGAGCTCCCCCCCCCAAATTAGGCTTGCTCTCCCCCTCCCCCTGCTTCCGGCTGCACCTTTGCACAAGCCACGCTGTGGGACAGTCCCACTCAGCCACGATTTCTCTTGTGCACCAGGACCCTCGCGCTGACCCGCCGGGAGACCCGTGTCAGGCCCAATGGCTGCTCCGGCCACCCCGAAGTACAAGCTGATCCTTCTGGGGGACTTTGGGGTGGGGAAGACCACGCTTTTCCACCGTGTCCGGACGGGGAGCTTCCTGGAGGGGCCCCACGGCGTTGGCCAGCACCTGTGCATGTGTGAGAAGGTCCTGCCAGTGAGGCACGGCCGCAGCAACCTCCAGGCGCAGGTAGGAGCCGGCATGGGGGGCACCCGGCCTGCGTCCTGGTGGGGCGCTTTCCGTCGGGAGGGACTGAGCGGGACGGAGAATGCCCGCAACCCTGCCGGCCGGCTGAGGCAGCTCGTGGGTTAATTTAGGTATTTTACCATCTGCTTCTAAAATCATGACGTAGCTTCAAGGAAAAACTCAGCCAGCGGGTCAAATACTCGGATATGCATTTTACGGGAAATCTAGAAAACGAAGGTGTAGCATACACTTAACAACAGTGAGATTCCAGGTGCGTAAGCAAAGAGAGCAGAAGAGCTGTGCATGGAAGTGCGCAGCCCCCGTGAGGCGCTTTGGGGGCCTCCTGGCCCATGGAAGTCCTCCTCTTCCGCACAGCCACAGTGGGGCAGCCCCTGTCATGCGCCCTCTCCCTTCGGTGGGGTCTCTCCTGCTGGCTGGGCTGGCGGGGAGCCCGGCCCTTCCTAGAGGGGAAGGAGCGAAACAGCCCCATGGGAACCATGTGGGGGCGGGCAAGGCCCCCGGGTCTCCCTGGCCTCGGCGAGGGCTGAGCCCGTGTCCCAGGAGCCCTGCCCACAGCCCAGCTCAGGCCCACAGGCTGCAGTGGAGGAGGGGGAGGCCAGGCCCCGGCTTGGAGCTGGTGGCTTGCGGCCCCTTTCAGCTTGCAGGCAAGGAGAGGCCACGTCTTCTGGCTCGCCAGGCCTCGGGGCAGCCCTGATAGGCAGGACTGAGCACATCTTTCATGGGAGCCAATCTGGGGTGGGGGTGGGGGGTGCCCACAGCAGTTTCAAAAAGATCCAGGAAGAGTTCCCTTGTTCAAGAGCAATGGCGAAAACATGAAGCAGGAAGCAAGGAGGGGAGGGGTAAGATCTCGAAAGCCGCTTTGGGTTCCTTGCAAGAGGGAGAAAAGCACCAGCGTTGTTGTTGCTACGATGGAAAATAGTCTGTGTTTTAATTTGTACAGATGCGATGGTGTGGTGCCTCATTTCCTTCCTCCCATGCTCAAAAAGTGTAGAGGATTCTGCATTAATGGACGCATCCTTTCCACACCCCTTGAAGTCCCACTTCTCCTGTACTCAGCCCTGCCCGGGTCTCACCTGGGCCCCGTGCCCCGTTCTGGGCATCGCAGTTGAAGAAAGACGCAGAGGAGCTGGAAAGGATGCAGAGGGGCAGCAAGGGTGATCCGGGGCCTGAAGCACAGCCCTGAGAGGAGGGATGGCTTACTGGGAGGCCTGTGCTGGGCAGGGCAGGGGGTTGGACCCGGTGGCTTTACCGGCCCCTCCCAACTCCGCCCTTCTAGGATTCTGCATTGCAACTTCCACTGCCATGACCCTTGGTCAGCTTGGAGGATGGCCAGAAGGCTTGGAGCTGCAGCCCAGGGCGTTTGGAGATTGCCCACCCCGCTTTCTGCCCACCCCCAGCCTCTGCTGACAGGTGGCAGCTTCCGAGGCCTTCAGGCAAGAGTCCTCCTCCATCTGTCCGGAGACGCTGCTGCGGATTGTCCTTCAGCTCTTCCCATGCAAAGCACTCAGCGATGGCTCTCCCCATGGCCTCAGCAACCTGAGAGGAGCCCCACTGGGTCAGCTGAAGGCCTCTCCGGGTCCGGCGTCTTGTTCCCACTGACCAGCCGGGTTCCCCAGGAAGCCCGCCGTGGTGCTCGGCTTGTGTGCTTGCCGGGAACTGCTTGGGCGCTGCAGGAAGCGGGGGGCATCCTGCCCGGGAGCCACGGACCGCCATGCGTCGGCCTGACCCCATTCTCTGCCCCCGTGGCAGAGAACGCCACGCTTTAGCCACGCGTCGTGTGAAGGAGGAGCTCCTTTTACCCGGAGCCTCTGCCACTCAGCTTCACGGAGTAGCCCCTCTGCCCGTTCGCAGCATCCGGGGAAACCTTGTCCCTGTCCCGTCCGCCTCCTGCACGCAGAGCGGGACTCCCTGCGTGCCCCTCGTTCCGCCTGGGGCACGCGCCACGTGCCGGGTGGCCCGGCCGCCTCTGCAGCCCCCGTCTCTCGTGCCGGCAGATCTCACTGTGGGACACAGCTGGGGAGGAGCGCTTCCTGTCCCTGAGCAGCTGCTACTTCCGGCGTGCGGACGCGGTGCTGCTGCTGTACAGCCTGCACGGCCCGCTCTCCTTCGACAGCCTCACGCACTGGGTCCACGTGGCGCGGCACTACTGCGCGGAGGGTAGGTGCCGGCGGGGCGGGGGGCGTGGGCGGGCGCCACCTTCCTCTCTGCCTCTGCTCCTCTGCCTGTAACAGCAGCCGGCCCAGCCTTGGTGGCCTTTGCCTGTATTCTAGAGTTTAACCTCGGGACTAGAAAAGGCCCCGCTGCATTTCTGTGAGTTGAGCCGACTAAAAGCCCTTGCGGGGAAGGCGGCCGCTCTGGCACGGAATCACGCCTGCCCTGGGAAATCTGACGTGCAGGGCTGGACTCGAAGCAAAATCTGGGATGCTGCCCCTTCCCGTCCTTACAAACCCCTTGGTTGATCCAGACTTAAGTCATACTTAGAGTCGTCCCGTTGACATCAGTGGGGCCTTCATTACTTTGGGCTGATTTCCATCCCACGCATTCCAGTGGGTCTTCTGCAAGCGCTAGGCTGGATCCGACCCAGGGGCAAGTGGAGCGAGAGGGGCCGGGGGGGGGGGCCCTGCTCAGGGCGGGGGCAGGGCTCACTCGATGCGGAGGAGAACAAAGACTGCATTGTGGCGGGTGCAAAGATAAGAGGTCCCAGGAGGCGAGAAACTTAATCCAGTCATGTTTTCACTGGAAACGCTCCAGTACACCTTGAAAAGCACATCCTCAGCTGGGGGAACTGGCTGCTTAGGTGCTGGCAACAGGTTCTGGAAACGGAATTTGAGTTCCACCGCAAAATCAGCGGGGAGGGACACGGCATCGACCCTCTGCTTCTTGGCGACAGCAGGTGTTGTCCTGTCCTCGCAGTCTCCTCTTCTCCCCCGCAGCGGATATCTTCATCCTGGGTAATAAGAGCGACCTGGAGAGTCAGGTTCCCGAAGAGAAAGCCGAGAGGTTTTCCGTGGAGCACTCCACATCCGGGAGGTTCAGGGTGTCCGCCAAGACCGGTATGGGCCTGCGGGCCACGTCCGTCCCCAGACAAGCCCCCCGCCACGCCCACTGAAGGGCCCGTCTGCCCCCAGACCCAAGCGTCCTGTGGGACCACTTCACCTCGTGCCGACTAGGAATGATTGGAATCGCGGCCCGACACATTTGGGAGCGCCAGCGTGGGGAGGGGTGCTTTCGCCGGCACCAGCCAGCACGGGTCCTCGTGTGCGTCTGCAGCGCCATGGGCCCAGCCTGGCGGGAAGGGAGGTGGGCCGATTCTGCACAGAATGTGCGTGGCTCAGGGCCGGCGTAATGCGTGGGTCTGGGGTGCAGCTCTCTGCGTTCAGCTTCAGCCCAGGCATGACTCTGGACCCACATCTGGGGGAATGGTCCAGGTGGGATGCTGAGCCTTCCCCGTGCCCGCTGCTGTGGGTCCCCCGCGAGCGTGCTCTGGACCGCAGCTCTCGGGTGGCGACGGCAGAGGCGCTCACGGAGTCGGGGTGCTGGAAAGGCCCGATCCCCCCTCCCGCAAGCCACCCCGATGAGCTTTTGAATCGGAACGTCCACGCGGCACAGGATCGACCCCGTGTCCGGCTGGAGGATGCCGGTCTGCACGGCCGCCTGACGCGGGGACTCTCCTGGGGGTGCATCCAGGCCACCTGCCTGCGCCCCCTGCCGCCAGCCGGGTTGTTCCTTCCTCCTTCCAGTCAACCAACCGAGGCTACGCCCAAATCTTCCCTTCCAGGCGAGAACGTGGAGCGGTGCCTGCAGGAGATGGTGGACTGGCTCTTCCGCAAGAAGGAGTTCCAGCGCAGCGGCCTCGCCGCCCCGCCAGAGGAGCTGGGCTACTACAAACGCTGTGGGTGCTGAGCAGCGCCCCCCGGGCACGGGAAAGGGCCCTCGCGCGCACGATCAGTGGCAGGCGCCCCCCGTGAGCCTCACACGCGGCGTGTGCCACGGGTCCTGCCCTGACGCTCACCGTGTATCCGACAGTCACGGCCTGCTTGGAGGCGGCCAGGCCTTGCCACCTTCCGACCTCTCTCTGAGTCGGGGGGCAGCGCAGGCTTCAGGGCCCCGGGCAGGAACGCCTCCCCATCTCAGTCTCATGCCGCCTTCGGGGAGCTGCTGTCTTGGCAGAGGCGTGGGCTGTTTCCTGAAGGAGGCTGAGCAGCGCCTCAACCCGAGGCTGGATGGCAGTGTGTCCAATGCGCAGTCCAGTGCCTGGATTGCAATCCCCAGCATCCCCAGCCAGTGGCCAATCCCCAGGTGAATGCAGCGCCGCTCCCAAGACCACCTTCTGGGACATGCGGTCTCTGAGGCCCTATGGAACCCCCTCGGAGCCGCACGTGGGGAAGGGCAGCTTGCCCCTTACCTGCTCACTCGCACGGTTGCCCGCGCGCTCTGTTCCAACCACTAGACTCCGTTATCACCTCCTCCTCCTCGGTCACACCTTTTCTGCCCTCAGGTGGCGACCTGCCCCATCGGCAGCCCGCTCAGAAGTCCGGAAACGTTCCCAGTGCTGCATTTCTCTTGGGAAAATGCCAGTGTTATCAGGCCGCGGATAAAAGCAAATGCTGCCAGCAGCACATGCAGTCAAAGGCTGTTTCAGAACGGCAAGGGCTGCTTTCCGGGCGATTATCCCTGCTGGAAAGGTGAGGGGACACGTGCACCTCGCAGAAATACAAAGATATCTTGGAGCAAAGTAGAACCCATGAAAACGGACGGCAAAACTGTCCATATCTCGCCCCAAGCGCCTCAGGGAGAGGCGGGCAAGCTCGGCGGGAAGATGCGGCGAAGTGCGCAGCATATGATGCCCTCGTGGAGCATTTGCCTGTGACGTGTCCCCAGCATGATGGGGCGGCTCGGGGTCGATCCGGGCTGCGGGCCGGAGGGGGCAGAGGCGGGGGCAGCTGGCAGGTGGTTCTGCAAAGGTGGACAAGGGGGGCATGCAGGGCCCGGAGAGCCTCTCTCGAGAGAGCGGGAAGGAGGCGACCCCTTGGCCAAGTGAGGCACCGCCAGGCCAGCTAGCGGGGCCGGTCACATGCCACCCGCCGCTCCCACCTGCAGCGGGGGGAGGGGGAGGCCAGACTCCGGGCGAGGGGCCCTTTCCGTTTCACATGGGGCGGAATCTGCTCCCAGAGTGGGGTCGCTCGGATTCATGCGACTTGCAACCCACCTCGTGCAGCACACTAACTCTGCCCAGTGCTAGCGAAGGCGGTTTGCTTTGCTCTGGCGGAAAGGAAACAGTTGAGAAACGGACTCGCAAGCTTCTCGTGTGTGCTGCAATCCGTTACTCTGCCGGCCGGTTCCAGGGCTTGATTCCCCTTAAATCACTGAAGAGCTGCGTGCTGTTATCTATACCTCTGTCTAAGTATCCCACTAACATGCGCCACATACCATTTATTACATGTTTATCCTGCTTTTATCTTCCAACAAACCAGAGCAGCTTACACTGCTCTCCTCTCAGTCTTATCCCCAAACAACAACCCTGTGAGGTATTATTATTATTTTATTATTATTATAACATTTCTATGCCGCCCCTTCTATGCCGAAGCCTCGGGGCGGCTTACAACACAATACAACACAACACAGGTAGGCTGGGCCGAGAGCCCAGACTGGCCCAGAGTCGCCCAGCTGGCTCCATGGCTGACCGGGGACTCGAAGCCGGATTGCCGGAGTCCCAGTCCCGTGCCCTTACCCACGGCACCACGCTGGCTCTCCACACTACATGCAACACTTGAATCACATTGACTGGGTTCACGCCACGTGGCAAGCCCCCAGCCGATAAACTGGGGGGGGTCATGGTCAGGGCAATGCCCCATGGCTTGTTAGAGGGCTTGGCAGCCCCCCACCAGGGAGGCCACGTCATCCAGACCCCGATGCCAAGAGGACCCGGGGCCGGCCCAGGCAGCTGCAGCCCTGCCTGGCCAGAGCGGCGGGGGGCCCTCGGGCTGGCTGTGCGGCTGCCCCTGTCGCCAGGGGTCCCACTCACGAGGAAGCCTGCTCTTGGACGCTGGCGGGCCTCCAGTAGCCGCAGCGGCCAGCCTGGGCCCCGCCTGCCGCTCCGGGCCAGCAGGGAGGGCGACGTGGCTCCGGCCGGCCAGCTCTGCTGCTCTCCCCCGCTGCTCCCAGCATCCCAGGGTGGAGGCTGCCCACAGGTCGGCCGAGCCCACCCGGGCTGGTGACTGGCAGTGGGGAAAGGGGGAGAGCTCCGTGCTCCCACGGGACCCCTGGAGACCCCCGGCAGGAGGAGTGGCACCCTGCCCACCCTGCCCGGCACATGGAGGGCATGGCCTTAAGCCACACCGTGGGGCTCGCTGCTCAGTGGGGCTTGCTCTGCAGCACAGGGCGGCACACCAGCCCTGCCCCAGCAGCGGACTCCGCGGAGGGGCTGGAGCTCGTGAGCCGGGCACTGGGTGTTTGTGGGGGGGGCAGGAGGAAGGCGCCCCCTTCCCCCCACGCCCAGCCTCTCCTGCCCCTGCCCTGTTTGGCTGCAGCCCCGGGAGCTGTGGCCAGATGCTGCTGTGGCCTGTCCTGGAGCAAAGCAGCCCAACGCATCGCATCGTGGGGTGACTTGGTTTAGCTTGGATAATCAAGACTCATTTGCAGTAGGACAGACCTGTTCTGTGCAACCCGCATTGCTGAACTGGCGGGTTGCAGCACAGGAAGGATCAAAAGGTGGACCCGGGTGTCCCGGTGATCTCCAGGTGATCCGCGTGCCTTCAGCTGTGCCGGTGGGTAACTGGGCTTTGTCTGTGGAAGGGATTCTAGCCATATCTTGCTTTTATTATTCATACATTCATTGTATTATGTATTGATAATACAATGATTATTGTATTAGGGTTTGCTTTGATTTTGTATCGCTTACAGTTAAATGTTGTCTTGCTTGATTGTCTTGCTCGAATGTATGATTGTACTTTTATGGACTATGTTTTTCTTTCTTGTGCTTGTAAGCTGCCCAGAGAGCCCTGTGGGCGATGGGGCAGCATACAGATGTAATCAATGAACTGAACTGAACTGAACGTCACTGTGGTGTTTCTTGCAAGAGGAAAAGGTGCAATATAGATACAGTACTGCTAGTGCAGCTGCCGTCGGCGGAAAAGCCCAGGCAGAACCAGGAGCAGGCAGCCCACTTGCTGCCCCCACATCCAACCTTTGGGAAAGGGCAGGCGCCACGATGATCAGCCAGCGTCCTCCCCGCATTCAGCCCTGGATGGGGGCGCTTGCAGGAAGAGGGGCTCCGTAGTCCGCAGAGGCCAAGCCGAGGGCTGCTCCCTCCGAGACCTGGCGTGCGTCTCGGGGCTGGGGCAGCAGCTCCACCCCCACTGCCTGCTTCCCCATGAGGCTCCGGAGGAGGGTCGGGGGGTGCTGTGGGCTTCAGCCGCGTGGGAAAGGGAGTTAGCCAGGGGAGTTAGCCAGGGCCCGCCTGTCAGGGCTGTGCCTCCCGGCAGGGAACAGCCTCATGGCGTTTGCTCAAGCAGAGCAGCAGCCATACCCTGAGCCACACCCTGGATCCAGCTGCTGCCACTGCCAGGGCATGGCTCAGAGGAGCTGAGGGCGCATTTGCCCTGCCTGGGGAGCTGGAGCCCAGGGACGACGGGAGCTGTACTCCAACACGCCTGGAGGCGCCCGGCTGAGCCCCCTCTCCTTGGTCTGCAGGCTGCCTCGATCAATTCTCTCCAGCATGCTGTTTCTGTTGCCGTAGGCCCGCGATGGTGAACCTTTCGGAGACCCAGTGCCCAAACTGCAACCCAAACCCCACTTATTTATCACGAAGTGCCAACACTGCAGTAAAACCTGAAAACTGAGGTTTTAGCTTAGAAAAAACACCTCACAGCCAGTCCAAGCAAATATATATATATTCTTGGTAGCGCACTGACTGGCCATGCGAAAGCTTGGACGAGTCACAGCTAGGGGGTCATGGCTCGTGACGTCATCGCCTGGCGCCACCACTCCTTTCTGAGCATGCGCATGGCCCCTATGTGCGCTGTCCCATGCTCGGCCGCTGGGTTGAATCTTGGGTGACTTGGCTCACGTGCCGACAGAGAGGGCTCCGCATGCGCGCTCTGCCACACGTGCCACAGGTTGGCCACCACTGCTATAGGCCATCATAGAATCCCAGAACAGTAGTGTTGGAAGGGGCCAGAGGGCCAACTCCCCCCCCCCCACCAGCTCAGTGCAGGACTCCCAAGCTACACCCTCCCCCTCAGATGGCTGTCCAGCTGCTTCTTGGATGTCTTCCAACAAGGGAGAGCCCACGACTTCCCCAGGCAAGTGGCTCCATTGCTGTAGAGCAAGAACAGTCAGGAACTTCCCCGATATCTTGCCCGAATCTGGCCTCCTGTAACTCGAGCTTATTATCCCACGTCCTGCACACTAGAATGAACGAGAACTTGTCCTGCCTCTTTGTGACATCCCTTCAGGAACTTGCAGAGGGCTCTCATCTCACACCCCCAGTCTTCTCTTCTCAAGGCTGAACATGCCCTGTTCTCGCCGTCTCTCTTCATAGGGCTTTGCCTCCAGTCTCTGAACCATCCTTGTGGCTCGCTTCTGTACTCTTTCTAGCCTCTATTTTTTAAACGTAGGTGCCCAGAACTGCAGACAGGACTCCAGGTAAGGTCTGACTAATGCTATGTATAGTGAAACTAGTGCATCACCTTTCTTCACCATCCCCCGGAGTCCACCCAACCCCACACCCACCGCCCCAGTGGCCCCATCCAGCCACCTCCTCCTCTGCCGCCCCCTCCTCCTTTTGCCATCAGTTGTTCCCAGCATCAGGCTCTTCTCCAGGGAGTCCTTCCTTCTCATGAGGTGGCCAAAGTACTTGAGTTTCATCTTCAGGATCTGGCCTTCTAAACAGCAGTCGGGGTTGATCTCCTCTAGGACTGACCGGTTTGATCGCCTTGTGGTCCAAGGGACTCGCAGGAGTTTCCTCCAGCACCACAATTCAAAGGCCTCAATCCTTTGGCGCTCAGCCTTCCTTATGGTCCAGTTTTCACAGCCATACATTGCAACTGGGACAACCACAGCCTTTACTATACGCACTTTCGTTGGCAGTGTGATGTCTCTGCTTTTTAGTATGCTGTCTAGACGTGCCATAGCTTTCCATGGGGTCGTGACAGGTCGGGCACAACTTCACAAATAACATGACTTCTGTTAATGCACCCCAAAAAAGCATTTGCCGTTTTTGCAATGGCATCACATTGTTGGTTCGTATCTAGCCTGCGGTCTACAACAACCCCAAGATCCTTCGTATTTGCAGCCTCCTTGAGCCAAGTGTTCCCCATTTTGTAGTGATGCATTTGGTTTCTTTTTCCCAGTGGAAGACTTGGCATTCGTCCCTACTGAATTTCATGCTGTTGTTCTCTGCCCAGAGTTCTAACCCATCACCCTGGATCTTATTTCCGTCTTCCAGAGTACTTGCTATTCCACCCACCTTTGTATCATCTTCAAATTTAATCACCTTTCCTTGCACTTCCTCATCCAAATCATTAATAAAAATGTTGACGAGCACTGATCTCAGGGTGGAACCTTCAGCACCCCAGTCCCGCGTTGGAGGATGTGGCCTCCATCCCACAGGGGCCCTCTGCGGAGCGTCCTCCACGCTGTCCGCCCGGGAGCAGCCCCGCTCAGCTCTGGAGGCCCAGTACCCCGGCTTCCCTCTGGAATGGAGCCACCTGCACTGGGCCCTCCCCAGGGAGTCTCACGATGCGCCCGGAGCGCCTTCCGGGGCAGGATCTGGCTGATGTGACCCCGGGCCCCTGGCCGTCTGCCAGGACAGCCCCGCCGCCTCCTCCAGCGCGCCGGCCACGAGGAGGAAGCAAGCACGAGCGGCGCCGCACTGTACGGGACGCCTGCGGCCACGTGGCGGCAGTCACGTGCGGCCGCGCCCTCGCCCGGGCCAGGGCCGCGCCCGCCCGCGAGGAGGCAGAGCCTGCCCTGGGGCGGCCCCGCGACGCCTCCTTTGTGCGGCTCCCGCGACCCCGCCTACTCGCCAAGGAGCCCCGCCTCTGCGGGCGATGATTGGCGGAGCCCGGGGGCGTAAACTGGGAGCAGCTGAGCGCCTGTCGCCTCAGCGGGGACGGCGGATTGGAGGAGGCGCCCGCTCGTCTCCCTCCTCAGGAGCGCCGTGCCATTGAGGGCGAGCCCTGACGGTCACCTGGCTGGGGCGAGCGCGCCGATTGGGCGAGCGCGCCGGGGGCGGGGCGAGCGCGGCCGGCTGCCTAGTCCGGCCGAGACGGCGAAGGAGCGGAGAGGCCAAACAAAGATGGCGGCGCCTGAGGCGGCGGCGCCG